GGGCTTTTTGCCCATGGTCTTACCTCCGCTTGAGGTCCAGGTACCGGTGATACAGCACCAGCTTAGGCAAAATCGGACGAGTGCGCTTTAAGCGTATCATAGGAGAAGAGTCCCAACTGATAGCTCTACTATGGGGTCTAGGGTTTGGGTTTAGGGCTACATAATGACCAGGGGTTATATAAGGACATACAGGGGCATACAGAAGTATGTACGTGTGATCAGGAATACTTGGGAGGCAAACAGAAAAGAAATTGGGTGTGTATAGGGGTATTGCAGAGGGATTACATCATGCAAGGAAGGCTACGTAAATCATTACCAACAGGATGTTTAGATCTATTTGAGGTACCATGAATGATAATCATGACAAAATGTGCAGGAAATCTGAAACCGGAAATATTGATAATTGTTAGGCTTCTATATTGCACCAAGCTATTGCAGCTTGCCGCTGCAAGCAGCCAAGCTAAACTTGCGCTGAACCCTGACCCCCATAAACCTTCAACCCCCCCAACCCTAAACCCTAAAGGGCAAGCAAGAAAACAACTCTGAGCGTCAGCAGGCTCTTGGAAGGACGTGGCCAACGCTGACAATAATCCTGCAATGCAGGGCTAGGTGAGGTACCCTAAACCCTAGGGTGTGGGTGGGGGTTTGAGGGTTTAGGGTGTTGAGGAGTTGAAGGGGTTTAGGTAAACCCTATGCTGAATTTAGCGCTTGTGCCGTGCCAGAAAAGCCTGGCTGGACATTACGTCAGTGTCCAGATATCCTCCCAAACAACTTCGTCTTTGGAATGCCTCTACGAGGGAATCCAGAAATTAGGGGCTTCGATTTTGGGGGGGGGGGCGTGTACACGGCTTACAGTTTAGGGTTGGAAGCCTTTCATATTTTGGGGGCATGTTAGGACCCCTTTTGCTACCCCAGCAGTATTGAATTCATGGTTTCCTGCCTTGACGTCGCCCTACTGGCATGTCCATATCGCCTGCCAGTGGCGCGATGCAATCCCTTCATACTACTACCCAGAAAGCCCAATACCCCTTAAGTAAGGAATATTCCTTAAACCATATTAGGAAACCTAGCATGATTTAAGGTATACTCCTTAGTTCAGGGGTATTGGGCTCTCAAGGCTTTCTGGATTATGAGACACCCCTCCTCCATTACACACCTCCCGCCCGAATATCAAGTATTAACACTTCGAGACGACCTATTGGGGAACACATTTGTTTTCAACGGTGGACGGGCGTTTAAAACCTACGATGAAGTGATTAGGAAACATAAGGGCGGGAAGTTTGGTCCTCCGGTAGATGGAGGAGATCTTGCACCACTTAGGATTCCCAAAATGCGGTAGTGGTTGGGGATGAAGGTATATGAGGTGGTGCAAGATTTCCTGCATCCACAGCCCTAAGCCCTAAACCCCACGATGCTGGTGTAGTCACTAAACCCTAAACCCAAACCCCCAAAGCACGTGTTTTGAAGGCTTGAACTGATCAAGCGGCTGGGCACGGGAAGCAAAAAAAGAAAGTAATCCAGCACCTTTTCTGGGTTGCTGTCGAAGGGACTTCAATTAAGCTACCATAATCTGGGTATATGGGGTTTAGGGCTAAGATATCATGATATGGTTATAAAGTAAATGCTATGGTTTCCCTATTATGGCAATTTAACTGAAGTTCCGCAAAAGCAACCCAGCTTTTCGTCATGGAGCTCGCCAAGCTTTGCGGTCCTCGTTTAGGGTCCTACTGCCTACCATGAACTGAATTGGATGGGTTCTGCGGGCTGTGGGGCTAGGGACTGGGAGGTTTTGTAGGCTGCAGCGTCATTTTATGACGCCGCGGCACACTGAAATTTCTATGTACAAGCCAAGTGGGTGTCTAGCTGCAGGTGGGTCTTCCACGGCGGCTACTTGCCACTTAGGCTCTTCTTGTAGAAGCACTCTGCGAAATACCTCACTCTTTCAACCGCACACATGTTCCACCCGCAAGATGGGCACAGCTTTGAAATTGTTCGTCCCATGAGTGGTTGTCAGAATTATGGTTCCGTTCTGGGTACCCTAAATATTCGGTGCCGTATTATAACAGGGATCCAAGAAGGGACCATAATTTTGACAACCACCCCCATAGATTCAGAGGACAGGAAACAATATAATTGCATCCGCCTACCCACGAAGCTCCCCACACAAATGATAAAACTCCCAATACAATACCATTGCATGATGAGGGTGTATTCTTCTTGGGGGAGTGGGGAGGTCAGTACTAAACCCGAAATCCCTAAACCCTGAACCAAGAGAAATACTTTTGTCGGATCGAGAGGCTGCACCAACCTAGGTATCCTCCGCCTTTGTTGCTGTTGAGGAATTTACATTAGAGTTTGGGGTTTAGGGTGTGAGGTACCATAACTCAGGATACGTAATAAATACTAGGGTTTCCTTACTATAGCATCTTAAGCTGAGTTCCTTAACAGCAACCCAGCCGCGAAGGTTCGTCCGAAGGGGAGCAGCAGCGCCAAACCATACAGTTGATAACATCGCTGTGCTGTGCCCAGACTTGATCCTTGACTATCGTTGACGAGATAGGGTTTCAGGGTTTGGGGTTAGGGTTTGAGG